TTGCAGACACATATTCTGCTCCCCTATCAGCAATATGTCCAAAAAGTTCAATACAATTTTCTTGTACTTTTTCATGCCTGTTCTTTAAGATCAGGATAAGCTCTTTAATTGGTGGGGTCATCTTATGCATACCCATTACATTTGCCTTCAGTGCTCCAAGGATGCTGCCCAATACTTCAGAGTACTCTTCACCCAAATACTCATACAAAACAACACTCAAGTGCCCCATCAATTTTTCCTCTTGACAAGTCTTCATGACAACAGCAGTTTGCAAGATCAAGTCAGCTGCCTGTTGCTTTACTTTGGTTGATTTGTTATTTGAATGCCCCAAAACTGTACCACAGATCTGAGGCTTGTCAAGAGCATTAACCACAGTACCAAAGCCATTCAACATTACTGAGTCCTCTGTAGTCTGTTCTTGGAAAGCATAAAGAATACCATCAATCAGTTGCTCCTCAAGTTTATGATCAGTATCTGCTGCTCCTAAATTACCCATGATTTTCTCAATTGTCTCCATCACCATTTTTCTATATTGTTCAGCTTCATCTTTCAAATCATCCACGATCCTAGATATATCTACTGCACCTACATTGTTCACCAACTCCACAGTAGTATCAACTAACTGTCAGTAATTTCTTCTATCCAACGCCATTTGGTGTTGCCAAAAATCTTTGAAAAAGAGAGAAGAATCTCTGTTTTAATGTAGTTTATTTCCCACACCATCTGTTCCAGAACGCTGCTTTACCACATTTAGCACATTTCTTCTTCAGGCAGTTGGAATTCTCAAATAAGGATTAACATCACTTCTCTTTTATAGTAGTTGACATATTCTGCATCCATGAGAGGAATAAGATAGCAAATAGTTTTTAAAAAAACAGCCAGAACCTTTCCTCTGTGCTGACAGATACCTTTCCACAGAAGCTTTAGCACAGAACCAAAAGATTTGATACCATAAGGAGTTGCTGCTTCTGATGGTCATGAACTTTCTATTGTTCATCCACAAGACCATGTTCAATAATTTCAACTGGACTTCTGAGATGTGGCAAGATGGCACAGCCCATAATAATAGCTATCTGCTGCACAATTTTAATTCCAATGCGTCTTCTTGCTGGTATTTCTTGCTCTTACATACAGCTTTTAAGAAGGGTAATAAAGAAAGAATGCTTAAAGCAGATGCTACATAGTAAAAGCTCTAGCTGTTGTATTACGGACATATTCATCCATGTTATCAATATTAGGTCTCATGGTAGAGAGCATAGTAGCCAGAGAAGCAGCCTTTGCCAAATTAGAAATGATCTCTCGGCCCTCCACTCATGCATAGTAATCTTCATCAATGAACAGTGATTCAGTAACCACAGGGATCTTATGTACATATGGTCAAAACAAGTTGTCAAGTTTGTATAATATTCTATCAATAACTTCATAAGTAAATGACGCTCTTGATCCTCTAGTGTAGGAGACTTCAGAAGAAGAATTTTATTAAACAAAGGACCAGCTCCAAATTCACGAGCTTTGTCAGTGATCTGGTGCAAGGCAGCATTTCTCATTGGAGGTGTTCCATTCTTTATTTTTAAAAGCAACTTCATTATTTTTCTCTCTTTTTGCTCTTCTGGACTAAGTGTTGACTCATCAATATCAATCAATCATTTATCAAAGTACTGAATATCATCCTGTTTTAAAAATGGAAGATTTCCAGATGGTTGGACATGAACACTTTTCATAGTTCTATCTTCAGTTTGCATATGGAAACCAGTCATACCACCCAAAGGCATTGGAGTTGCTGTCAGCTTCCAAGCTGGAGTTCGAATAGGAACATAACCTGTTGGAGGAAGGAGTGAGTGAGTATCTTATAGCCTTCTGGGAATACAGCATCTGGTTTTTAATCAGAAAGTAGATGATTTCTCTCATCAATTTCTCTCTCCCATCTGCACACCTGAAGCTGTTCAGGAGTCATGCTCATTATTATGTGACTTGGAGTAGGGGTAGCTATGTTCATGGGTGGTGTGCCAATTGGTGTTTTTCCAGGGATCAGAACAAGAGTGCTTCCACCCATCTGACTAGCTGGTATTTCATCCCAACATGACTTTCTTTTTCTGGCTCTTGGAGTTGATGTTTCACCAATTGAATCTCTACTTCAATCTGTTTGAGGAGTCTCAGCCCATCCACTTCCATGGCCAGGAGTATCTATCTCTCTCTCTGTTTTGGGGGGTTTTGCGGGCACTAAAAGTTAAGCCTCCATGGCCTGGTGTAGCATGGCCTGGTGTAATGCCTTGTCCAGAAGTAGCAGCTCCTGCTTGGGTGTGATTAGGTTTAGGATCCCAAATTTTTTAGTCTGGGGTTGCTCTAGAAGTTTCACTTCATTTTGCACAACCTGGTGTCTCATCCCATCTTAAAGAAAAGGTGTGCCCAGGAGTCTTAATAAAAGGGGGGTAATTTAAACAGCCACATACCTCACAGAAGCAACAAATGCATATAGCAACAGCTTAACCATCTCTGTCAGTCTGGATTCATGTTATTTTCTTCTCTTGTCATATTGCCCTAGAAAGCACTTCCAATATAATATTGAAAAGAAATGATGACAGTGAACATCCTTATCTGGTCCCTTTTTGCAAGGAAAATGGTTTTAGTCTTTCTCTATTGAGAATGATGTTGATTCTTGTTTTGCATATATACTTTTCACTATTTTGAGAAAATTCCCTTCTATTCCAATTTTGCTGAGTGTCTTTATCAGGAACCGGTTTTGGATTTTTGTCAAATGCCTTTTCTGCATCAATTCCTAAGATCATATGGTTCTTGTTATTTACTTTGTTAATATAATGAATTACATTTATTGTTTTTCTTATGTTAAAACATCCTTGTTATGAATTCATAACATACCTGTTATGAATCCTACTTGGTCATGGTGAATTATTTTTTTATGTGCTTTTTGGATTCTATTTGCTAAGATTATGTTACGGATTATTTAATCTATACTTATGAGAGATATTGGTCTGTAGTTTTCTTTCTTGGTGATATCTTTGCCTGGTTTTGGTATTAGGCTTATGTTTGCTTCATAGAATGACTCTGGAAGTGTTCCTTTTTCATTTTTTTACAAATAAATAGAATAGGTAGGTGCTAAATCCTTTCTAAATCTTTGGTAGAATTTAGCTGTGAAGCCATGCGGTCTAGGACTTTTCTTTTGAGGAAATCTTTTTATAACCTTTTCAATTTCTTCTCTTGTGATAGGTCTGTTCAAGCATTCAATATGTGTCCTTGTCAGTCTGGGCAGGGGATGCTTTTCAAGGAATTTGTCCATTTTCTCTAGATTTTCGAATTTTTTAGAGTATAGCTTGTCATAGTATTCTGGTATTATCGATTTTATTTTCTCTGATTCTGTTGTAATGTCACCTCTGTAATGTCTTTTTTTCCTTTGGGGGAATTTATTCCCAGTCAGAGAGGGAAGCAGGGAGGGGCCCACTGTGGTCTCAGAGGCTAAGGGCCCAGCAGACATAACACCACAACCGGGCAGGGGATGGGGGGCACAGGAGACGGCTCCCAACTCCAGTGCTTGGTCCCTGTCTGTCCTGGCTGAGAGCAGGATGGAGGCGGCAGAGGGCAGGCTGGGGCGAGCCCAGCGGATGACACAAATGGAGGCAATAAATACTGACAGCCAGGCACACGGCTCTGGCCAGGCCAGATGGGCCAGGTAAGGCGAGGCCGCGGCTTTGTCCAAGGGCTCTGTGGTGCAGTGGGTGAGCACGAGGGGTGGTCAAGGAGAGGCCACCAGCCCTCCTGGGAGACCCAAGTTTTGGCAAGTTGGCTCCCCGACCCACGGAGCCGTCCCCGCAGCCCTGACAGGCGGAGAGCAGCACCTGACACCTCTAGGCATCGAGGTCACAAACAGGACAGGGACATGCTCATGCAGACACCGGGGTGAGGTTGGCAAAGGCCCCGCACACACTCCACATGTTAAGGCATCATGGTTACACGGTGACTGGCAGGCCCAAGGCCAGGGGACAGGCGGGGCCAGCAGCAGGATCCCCCGAGCTGTACCCCTCTCTGGCCTGGAAGCTGGCGGGAATCTGGGGACAGCTCAGGCAAAAGCAGCAACAAGACACTGACCACGGAGACCACAGCGGGGCCGGGGCCTGAAGAGAGGCTGGGGCCTGCAGAGGCCGGGGAGGCCCAACGGGGAGGCCAAGGCCAGAATGGCCTGATGGGGAGGCCGAGGCCAGGGCCTGTGGAGGGAACGGATGGTGCGCGAGGAGGCCTGGCAGGGAGGCCGGGCTGGAGCCTGCAGAGGTTGGGGATGCCCAGCGGGGAGGCCCAGGGCCAGGGCCTGCAGAGGGAGGGGAGGACAGGCTGGGAAGCCGGGAGGGGAACCTGTCAGCACTTTGGTCTGGGGGTGGGAGGAATGGGGGGCACGTCTGTCAATCCCTCCCACCCGGACTCAGTCCTTCCACTCCTTTTTGATGGTGAGGTTCCACTCCCAGGACATATGGTCCGTCTTGTCGTCGTCAGTGAAGCAGGACTTGTTGTAGCTGCCCCTGGCCAGCATGCCCTTGGGTGCTTCCTCTATGGGTGTCAGGAACTCATACTCCGAGGCCCGAGGTCCGTAGCTGCCCACCATGTACTCGGTCTTGCCAATCTTGACACCCTTCCGGTAGGTATGCTGGATGTACTTCATGCCGGACACGATCTCTATCTTCACCCGGAAGGAGATCTTTATCCTGTACTCGACGGCCTCCTTCAGCACAAACGACTGCTTCTTGAAGCTGACCAGGGGCACTGCTGCACACCAGGGTCAAGCGAGTCACAACAACATTAGGGACATTGGGGTCAGCAGAGACGGCCACGCGGCCCAGCAGGGCCTCCTTGTACTTGCGCAGGCTCTCGTCGTCCTTGTCCAGCTCCTGGATCTCCTGGATGCTCTTCTGTGCTTGTAGTTGACTGAGTGCTCGTCCTCCTCATTCTCGGCTGCAATCTGGGCCAGCTGCTCTGCGGTGGGCTTCTGCTCCGCCATGCTCACTGCTTGCTCTGCAATGCTGGAGGATTCGACCGCGCGGCCTCCGCTCCCTCCCGCACAAGTGATGAACGTCGCGAGCCCCACTCGCCCGCCTGTCACTTCTGACCTCTGTAATTTCTTAATCGAGATATCTGTGTCTTTTTCCCCCCTTTTGTTAAATTTGCCAGGGGTTTGTCAATTTTATTGACCCTTTCAAAAAACTAGCTCCTGGTCTTTTTGATGGTTTCATCTGTGTTTCTGTTTTCTATCTTACTGATTTCAGCTCTTGTCCTTAGAATTTCATATCTTCTGTAGGCTCTAGATTAGACTGTTGATGTTTTTCTATTTGCTGAAGATGTTGAGTTAGATCATTGATGATTCTATCTTCCTTTTTCATGTGTGTTCCTATTGCTATAAACTTCCCCCTGAGAACTACCTTAGCTTTGTCCCAGAGGTTTGGTAAGTTGTATTTTCATTATCATTTCTAGGAACTTTTTCATTTCATTCCTTATTTCTTTTATAACCCAATCATATTCTGTTGTTGTTGTTGTTGTTATGTGCCGTCGAGTCGTTTTCGACTCATAGCGACCCTATGCACAAGAGCCCTAAACCCTGCTCTATCCTGCGCCAACCGCACTGCCTCTGACACACCCATCCCGATTACCCCAGTCACCGCATCAATCCATCTCATAGAGGGTCTTCCCCTCCTGCGCTGTCCCTCCACCCACCCAAGCATGATGTCCCTCTCCAAGGACTCGTCCCTCCTGGCAACGTGTCCAAAGTATGGCAGACGAAGTCCCAGAATCCTTGCCTCCAAGGAGGAGCTTGGTTTAATCCTCTCCAAAACGAATCTGTTTGTTTTCGTGGCAGTCCATGGTACATTCAGTACTCTTCTCCAGCACCACAGCTCAAAAGCATCCACTCTCCTTCT